TGTGGACGAGACCTGGGTGCTGCTCGTCCCTTCGGCCGTTGAGTCAACTCAAGTCCCATTCCCCACTCTCCCCCTTCCCCCCCTCCTTCACTCTCAGCTGCATATGGAGCTGCTATACCGCCCTGTGGACGAGAACGGGGTGCTGCTCGTCCCTTCGGCCGTTGAGTCGCCTCAAAACATTCCTTCTCCTCCACTCTCCATGCTCCCCACCCCACTCTTTCAGCTGCATCTGGGGCTGCTATACCGCCCTGTGGACGAGAACGGGGTGCTGCTCGCCCCGGTTTTTTAGTCGACTCAGAACGTTCCTTCTCCTTCACTCTCTCCCCCCTTCTCATCTCTCAGTTGCATCTGGAGCTGCTGTACCGCCCTGTGGACGAGAACGGGTTGCTGCTCGCCCCGGCCTATTTCACCCCGCCAGCGCCCAAGACGCTCCAGGAAGCAACAGCAGCAGCCAACGCCGCAGAGGCACGGAAAACGCGGCAGGCAGGCGTGGGGTTCCTCAGCCCAATCAAGGCGCAGCAGCAGGAGGAGGGCGAAGGGGGGGGTGATGTGCCGGCGATTGCTCTGGGTGGGGATCTAGGGGGGGTGGGGGTGGAGGACGGGGAGACCAAGTACATGAGAGGCGTGCTGCAGGTGGCACTGCTGTCAGGGCGAGAGCTCATGGCGTGCGATATGAATGGGCTCAGTGACCCGTTCGCTGTGCTCGAGGTAAGCATGCTGCTGCTGTGTTCCGAGGGTGTGGGAAGAGCTTTGAGGGGCCTTAGAGGTGTGCTTCAAGGGCACGTCACTATCTTCTCACATGATATTTGCAGTAGCTGGGAGGGCAGAGGAGGAAGTCGTGTGTGGTGAAGAAGACGCTCACGTCACGCCCCTCACTACCTTCTCGTATGATCTCTGCTCTCTCACGCCTCTCCCACACTCCTGCCTGCAGCTGCAGCTGGGATGGAAGGGGAGGAAGTCGCGTGTGGCAAAGAAACCCCTCTTTCTCACATGATCTCCGCTCTCCCTCGCCTTGCTTTTTCCCGACCCCTGTGTGCACCTACTGCAGTTGCAGCTGGGAGGGCAGAGGAGGAAGTCACGGGTGGTGAGGAAGACCCTCAAGTCACATCCCTCACTGCCTTCTCAAATGATCTCTGCTCTCTCACTCCCATCTCTCCCAACCGCTTTGCACGCCTGCAGCTGCAGCTGGGAGGGCAGAGGAGGAAGTCGCGAGTGGTGAAGAAGACGCTGGAGCCGGAGTGGAATGAGAACTTTGAGTTCCTGGTGGAGGACGGCAAGCATGACATGCTCGTCGTGGCGCTGTTTGACCACGACCTGCTGGGCAAGAAGGTAGGCCTCTCTCATCAGGAAGGGCTTGCTGTTAGGTCGCGTGTCAAATTGCAACAGCCAACTTTGAGTTCCTGGTGGAGGACGGCAAGCACGACATGCTCGTGGTTGCCCTGTTTGACCACGACCTGCTGGGCAAGAAGGTGAGAGCTCCTCGTAACTCGCTGTTACTTGGTGCGTCAAAGGGTGTGCTCTGAGGCACCGTGCAGCGACTGGGGGAGAATGGCAAGCACGCCATGCTGGTGGTGGTGGGGCTGTTCGACGGCGACCTGCTGGGCAAAGAGGTCAGTGAGAGTTCCCTTGTAGCGCGTTGTTGGCTAGCGGCCGTACATCGAACGTGTGGTCTGCGGCACCTTTCACTTGCTTGCCAGCTGTGAGTTCCCTGGTGGAGGACGGCAAACACGACATGCTGGTGGTGGGGCTGTTCGACCGCGACCTGCTCGGCAAGAAGGTGGGCTTCCCTTGTATTGTAACGCGTTGCTGGTGAGTAAGGGGTGTGATTAAGTAAGGTTTGAGGATCTGTCACGGCCCTGGTGGAGGACGGCAAGCATGGCATGCTCGTGGTATGGCTGTACGGCCGCGACCTGCTGGGGAAGAAGGTAGCAGTCGCCTGCAATGACCTGCAGTTTGTATGCATGTAAGCTATGAAGTAGTAATAAATTTGGCATGGCTGGCAAGATAGTCAGTACAGTACGTGGGGGCTGGTCGTGATGCATGGATTGCTGAGCTGAGTTGTGGACTGTCTTAGGGTTTAGGGTTTTGGGGTTTCTGGTTTAGGGTATGCTTATGGTATGCTTTGAAGGGGCTACTGGGTAGAGTAGACGTACCCACTGGTTGCTGACAAAAATCCCCAATAACACTTGCTTTGTTTTTTCCATAATACATTACTTGTTGTCCCATGTTTGCAGGATAACATGGGTCGGTTGGGAGTGAGTTTGACGAGAGTAATGATGGAAGGGCATCTTGAAAACGAGTTCCAACTAATGGATGTGCCTCATGGATGGTTAAAGCTGAAGCTAACATGGAAGCCTGTACCATAGACTGTAAGGGGACTCAGATCAACGACTTGACTAATAAGGAGTTGTATTGTAAGGAAGAATAACTTAGTGGTCTCAAATTTACGTATAGGAGCTTAGTGTCTACTATATAGGGTACTGAAGTATTGCTTGGATTGAAGTTCATTGCATTTAGAATTTATCATGACTTCCAGTGGGTAATGGATTGTACCGTGATTTCCAGTCGGATGCACCGTGTCGCGGTATTTCCAACAATTCACCTGTCCAAATTCGACCGCCCTCGCAAGTCACCCGTGCATTCAGCGATTTGTGCGTACGATGACACCCTGGTGTTACACGCCTGCAAATAACTTCTTTGCGATAGGACGAAGAAATTTAGCGACGACTGGAATCCAGCCAATTTGAAAGGCATCTTTTCGGACTTGCTGCGCTGGCGCGCTTTGGTGACCCGGTTGCTGCACAGTTACGAGTCGCTTCCAGAAATCTCTTCCGAATTTTGAGTCGCAGACTCTTCGTCACATCAGATGCCAGCCGCTGCGATGCTCAGTTCGTTGTCGCTTCCATCATCTGACCATCCATCGACCTCGCAAATTCGTAATTCTATCAACAATCCATCGCAAAGTTCGTCGGTAGATTTTCGTACTGAAGTGCTGTGCATAAAAAGGCCCTCAGATCGTTATCACGGGTCAGTCAGACGTGAGATTTTGGTACAAGTTGCTCCATAACTCGGTAGTTGTGTCCGCTGCTACATGTTCTATTGTTTTAGGACCGGAGTGATCAGCCCATGTTTCACGAATTTAATCCTGTAACGCAATCTGATAAAGGAGCCGCAACGCCACCAGATAACGAGCAGTGGAAACAGTGGTGGGTGGATTAAATACAGTTATTGAAGTGCGTGCTGACATGGCGTATCAAGGACCTCCTGTCACAGCACCGCCCAATCAAGGTGTGACGCGTGTTGCATCTGCAGCAGCACTTTATCGCTTGGTTCAAATGCTGTGGTTGTTTTCTATCCAGAACCAGCCTTTACTAGGCTGAGAAACACTCCTCTGGACGCTACTAATCCGTTGCACACGCATCTGCAGGCTATCAATTCTGTCGCGACGGCCATCCGTCTCCGCCTGACTGCGCGTCGCCCAAAGAAGCATTCACGAACCCCCTCAGCCTCAGCCGCAGCAGCAGCAACGGCAGCGGCAGCGGCGCGGGGCACTACTACCACTACTACCAGTGCGACTCGCCGCCGCCGTGCAGCGGCGTGATCGTGACGAACAAGGACGCCAGCGTCTACGACAACTGCTGCGTCGCGCTGTAAGCTTATGAATTGATACGACGCTTGTTACTCCGTTTGTAATTGTGAGTGTAGTCGAGGGAGGTTGTTCATGGCTGACGCGTGTCTCTGCTTCGTTGTTGCTGCAGAGTATCGGTGCTCTGCTGCTGCTGGGTAATAGACGGCTTCGTCTGACCATCATTCGTTTGAACTCCCGTCGCCTGACCGCCTTCGTGTGAGCTGATCTCGCAACTTCCAGTCGCGCAACGGAAAAAATTCTGGTCCGCGACCTGTGGACTCTCAAACAAAAAAATTGCCGCTGATGCTATCTGCGTCCCTTTCTTCCTGGTCGCTATAAGGTTTTTGAATAAACAGAATGCTCGGGTATGGTCTTGTGAAATTGCCTCCTTTGTACCACCATAAGCGAGTGTCATCACAACTTTGAAGGGTACATAGAACAAGAGCCATGGCCTTCAACAAACGGTAAGAAACAGCATGAAAATCATGAACAGGTAGAGAGATACCGTACCCTCCTCTACACAAGACCCAATGTCAAAATTGCCCTAGGGTTCCTATTTTAGCGACTACCATTACCCTCAAGAGAAGGAAAACGTCCACCTTTCTGACACCATCACCCAGGCAGGCAGAGACACAACACTTGCCACACGGGTTCTCCTATTCCTGAACAATCCATCCCCCGCAGCAGCAGTGCATTCCTTAACACGCATCACAGGCATAAGCCCCTCAGAGCTTTCCCAGCACATCACTCAGTGCATTGGCAATGCTTCCCCAACCCTCACCAGCTGCATCGGAGCTTTCCCCATCCAACCTCAACCAACCCCCCAGCGCCTTGTCGCTCTGTTCGCTCCATGTGTCCTGTCCTTTCCAAGTACCACCTGCCACTGCAATCCATGCACGCCGCCAGCAGCATTGCTACATGCACCGTGAGCGGTGGGGAGACGATCCTGTTGTCAACACCTGTAGGTCACCCCTCCGCAGAGGGAGCTCCCGCTTCCCCTATCTCCCTCTCCCTCCCCACCCGCCTCCATCCCATGCAGTATTGGGTCGCCCTGCTCCCCAGCTAGTGAAGTGTGTGGCATGGCGTGCCCGCCTCATGCCTTTTTTTAGGCGACTCAAGAAGTGTCCCCGTTATGCCATGCCATAGTCACGCAGAGCCAAGTACGGTACTCTGCTCATCCAATCCCTTCCCATTTGTCTCATGCAAGAAGCCATGCACCAATACAGCTATGCACGCTCCCCTCCCTAGTGGCTCCGCAGCAGCAGCGCCTCCTCCCCCGCCACCACGTGCTGCAGCATCGCATCCCTCTCCTCCTTGCTGGCCCACAAGCACACAAGCGCACTCATGCACCTCCCCCACCCCCCCCACCTCCCTAGTGGCCCCGCAGCAGCAGCGCCTCCTCCCCCGCCACCACGTGCTGCAGCATCGCATCCCTCTCCTCCTCACTCTCAAAGTGGAACCTCCGCCCGTGGCCTGAGGGACGCACGCAGGGACGACAGGGACACGGGCAGGGACGAGCGGGAGGGGGTGGTGGGGAAGTGAAGATCAGGATTGAGTGCGAGCAGGAAAGGGGGCAAGGAGAGACGAGAGGTGAAACGGGCAGGGAGGAGAATGGGCGGGCAGTGGGGAGAGAGGAATGAGATTGAAGCCAGAGTGAGAGCAGAGCAGGGGAGAGGAATTGACAGTCTTTCGCCCATCCCAAGGCGGCCGGCTCTGCTGCACAAAATGATGCTAATCCCTCACACCGTCACACCTGGCAGCACCGCGCCTCACCTGGCAGCAGCCAGCGGAAGGGCAGCCCCACCAGCTTCTTGGTGCTCTGAACTTGCACCGGCACTGCAAGGGTAGTAGTGCGTGTGGCAGGGGGCAAGGGGCAGGCGGCACGGAGGAGCAGAGGATAGGGTATACATATTTTTAAGCAATTCAATTCTGGGTACACGAGACAAGGGAAAAGAGACAAGGAGCAAGCGACAAAGGGCAAGGGGCAAGGGGCAAGGGGCACAAGGCACACGAGCGCAAAGTGCATCCGCAGGGAAAGAGAGAGTGCTCTCGCCGAATTCTTTTCACTGCAATCCCTTCGTTTTATCAGGGAGACGGCACGGCTTTTTTATTCCGTTTGACCTGAGTTGACTCACCCGAGTACCAGTTGACTCGTCTCATAATGGAAAGGCTTTCCGTATTAGGAGCGTACGCCAGATGGTCCCCTGAGAAGAGCGCCCCTCCGTGCGCCTTATACAGCACACTCACGGAGCCCTGCGCGCAGAGCGACGGGTGGGGGGTGGGGGAGGGTGCGAGTGAATACGCGTGTGAGGTTCGACCCCAGGCAGCAGGAACTCCACTTGCAGTTCAACTGAGAAGCCACCGCCACCAGTAGACCTGACACTGAGAAGTCGCTGAGGTGAGGTAGACCTGAATCTCCACCTCAGCCCGTGTGTGCCCTCACCTCCGTGTGGCCGGGGGTGCACATGTTCTTGAAGGTCCCACCCCAGGCACCAACGGATTCTTGAGGCTCCTCGCAAGTCAACGTCACGCTCACCCTCCCACGTGTTGCCTCACCCACGTGTGGCCTCACCCACGTGTGGCCTCACCCACGTGTGGCCGGGTGAATATGATCCTGAGATCCGACCCCAGGCACCAGGGGCCCGCGCCGTCCAACAGCGACGGCTGCGCCGGCACTTCCCACCGCCACCACTCGGCCTGAACCACCACCATTCGCTTCTCAACTCACCTCCGTGTGCCCGGGAGTTCAAATAAATTTGAGGTCGGACCCAAGGCACCAGGGCCCCATGCCGTCGAGTGGCATCTCCACGTCGGTCGTGTCGGGCTGCACCTCCACGTGGGTCAGTGCCGCAGCACATCCACGTCGCACTACCCACTTCAACCGTGCCCCACCCATTTCAACCGCGCACTACCCAGTTGCATAAGAGCGCTCACCTCGGTGTGACCGGGGGTGAAAATGATCTTGAGGTCCGACCCAAGACACCACGGCCCCGTGCCGTCGAGTGGCATCTCCACGTCGGTCGTGTCGGGCTGCACCTCCAGCGCGTGGAGGACACGCTCCGCCTTGAACCGCGCCGCCCACCGCGCGTGGTCCGCCACGTCATCGCGGTGCGTGAGCACGATGTAGCGCACGCCGCCCATGCGCGCGAGCGTCTCCGCCAGGTGCTCCGAGTAGCGCGGGCAGTCCACCATCACGTTCCCCGCCGCGCGCTGGATGAAGTAGGAGGAGGCGCCACGGGGGAGGGGGGAAGGAGGGAGAGAGGGAATGAGGGAGAGAGAAGATGAGGAAGTGAGGAGAAACGGCAAAGGAGATATGAGGGAACGGCAAAGAGCGGGAGTAAGAGGCGGCACCGCAATGCACCGACCTGGATGAAGTAGGAGGCGGCGCCGAAGGACTTGCGTGAGTGGTAGCCGCAGTGGAACACGCCGGGCAACGCCGCCGCGTCGATGGGCAGCGGGAACGCGTCGCGCGCCCGCGGCACGAGCGATAGCGAGTCGCGCGAGTGGATGGAGGCCGTCGGGCACGATAGCAGCGCCTGCGGGGGGGGGGAAACGGGGGGGAAAGCGGAGAGGGGAAAGGGACGAGGGAGGAATAGGTGGCGACATGGCATGTGTCACGAGCCGAGGCCGTTCGGCAATTTTGACACCAGAATTCCGTGATATGTTCCCCATGCTTTCATCGTTCATTATTCATCCTTCGCCGTTCAACGCTCGTCGTTCGTTCGTCCTGCTCGCTAGAACCCTTCCGCGTACCTGGAGCGCCTTGACGGCAGTGGCCTCGTCGCCAGGCTGTGCGAACACGGCGGACTGCGACCCGACCTTGGCGAACACTTCGGGCGCCATCCAACGGCACACGTCGCAGTTGATGCACGTGTGGTCCACGTAAAAGTCACCCGCCACGTTCTCGCCACGTGGCGCCCTCGCGCCGCCCACGCGCTCCCCCACTTGCTGAGCCTGCGCCTCGACCTTGAAACCCGTGATTCGCGGAGCCGCTGACGTGGAAGGGATTGCCAAAGAGGATTGTGACCAGCCGGCGCTGTCACTCCAGCTGACGGCGCCGCCCCGCCGTGCCGTCAGCGGCGGCGCCACTCGCAAGCCGCCAGCGGCGCAGCAAGCCGCGAAAGCTGCAGCCATTTCCTCGCGCGCGCCGCGTGTATGAATCAGGAATCAACAGTTCGTACAAAACTCTGAGGCGCCTAAGACTTTGTCAGATTCTGGAACTAATAAATGCTGCAGCGGTCACAATTTAGAATGTAGCCACCCTCTAGAGGTGGTATATGTATACGCGCTGTGCATAGGAACGAGGCGAGTCTGATACCGTGTGATCCACAATACGTTGCGAGCAATCAGTCAGTAGGGCAAGTCTTCACTTGCTGCGCTGACTCGTATACCTCTATATTTCTGACGAAGCTCGAGCAAGATGAGCAAAGATCTGAGCGAGTCGAAAATATTTGGACGTAGCGGCAATCAAACTTGTGTTTGATGTGAGTGAGCTTCTGTGCTCCATTCCCCCTGATTTCCCGACTCTCCCGAATTCCGTGGAGTTTGCTCCCTCCCTCGCGCGGTTTGGTTTCAGTTCGGTCGGTCAGTTCCTGGTTGAGTGGATTGCTTCCCTGGCACCTTGTCAGATCTGCATATACACGTCATATGTAGCCGCAATATTGCCTTACTGGCCAGATTCCAGCTCATAATAGATGAGAGTGCGCTGGTTCAAGGCTTGGTGCAATCTAGAAAATATCACCCAACCATTCGCGACGAGGTCGCTGGCTCGCACGGCGCAACATGACGCGCTCGCGAGGGAACGGGTTTCGTGCGCTGTCGGTATGTCAGCGAATTTTGCACGTGCGACGAGATCGATGGTTTGGTCGAGACGGTTCGGAAGACAGTTGATGCGTGTTCTTGCAACATTTCATGTTATTGCCGTAACTCAACTATAATGTACAAATAAATACAGTGCATTACAAAAAACCATGTCTGAGTGAGAGTGTTAGCTCGGTTGTCAGTTGAGGCATCCGAAGTGTGAGAGCTCCAAATGGTGCAGCCTCACACATGTCAGCACAGGCTCCGGCAATTCCTGGGATGAATTACCCTGGTGGGTCAAGCAAGGGAGGCAATACAACTCACGGGCATTCAATTCAATCAACGTGAAGCAAAAACGTGAGGATGGGTGGCCACATTCTTTCTTTCTCACCTGTGAATAATAACAGAAGAGAATGTTAGCCAGATTTACTGAAAGAAGGAAATTTACACCTGTGCTAAACATACGGTAGGTCACTGACAGCAGCTCTCACGAAAGGAGACACATGGTGACAAGACTCGCCTGCAGCACAAGCACGAGTGGGAATGGGAAGACTCACCTGCAGCACGAGGGCAAGGTCGAGGATGGCGTCGGGCAGGTGGGGGCGCAGGGAGAGCAGCGCCCTCTGATGCGCGGGGGGGAATGCGTGTGCGTCTATGTCCAGCTCCATGTAGGGCTGGGCGGATGACTGGGGGAGGGGGGGAGAAGGGGGGCGAGAGGGGGACGGGGGAGTTGATATGATGGGGAAAGGAGGAAGGAATGTGCGTCTATGTCCAGCTGCAGGTATGGCTGGGTGGACAACTGGGGGAAAAGGAGGAGAAATGGGGGAGAAGGGGGGAGAGTAGCAGGGGGGGAAAGGGGAAGAAGGATTGAGGTGATAGGAGGGGCAGGAAGGCCCAGCCCCAGGTAAGGCGGGGCGGACGACAGGGCGAGGGGGGGAAAGGAGGGGAGAGGTGGGTTGTATGAGATATGATTCACACAGTAGCACGCTTCTCACCTGCAGAACGGTGTGGTAACGGCGAGTGAGTACAGCCCTGCCTGAGCACCCCTCCACCACCTTCTTGCCCGCTGCACCCAGAGCCACCTCCCCTTCGTTCACCAGCCTCACCATCAGCTTCGGCCGATCCCAAACCACCTTTTCCACCCTGCCTTCCCTTTCCCCATCTTCTCCCCCGGACCTTGACCACCGTTCCGACTTCCCCCCGTGCTCCCTCCTAACATGCTCCTTTCCCCCATGATCCTTTCCACCATGCCCCTTCCCTTCATGCCCTTGTGCTGCCACCTCCCCCCCCACGGCGGTATCATCAGCAGACGAGTAGCTGGACCAGCTGCCTCTCCGCCTGCCACTGTTGCTGCGCCGCGTCTTGATGCCGCTGCTGCCGCCACTGTTGCCTTCAACATGTGGGACTGAACGCTCCGCCTCTCGCCCTGCTGCCCCCTCCCCTGCCGCCTCCGCATCCTCTGCTGCCGTGCCTGCTGTCCCGTGCTGCTGCTCTGCGGTTTCACCGGCTCCTCGGTCGCGGCACGAGGAACGTGAGGGGAACTGTTCTCTGCCTCTTTTCCTCCCCCCTCGCCTTCTCCCTCCACTGGCGCTCCTCCTTGCTTCCCTTGGGCGTGCCTTGGACCCCACGCACGCAGCACAGGCTGCAGAGAGGCACGCAGTGCAGTGGGGATGGGCGGGCAGCAGCACGGGAGCAGCAGCAGATGCGAGATGGTGAGGGGAGAGGGATTGAGTGCAGAGGGAGCCCCTGTCTGGGCACGCCAGTGCGCCCCCAGGCAACAGTGACACCATGGCACCACACTCAGGCCTGGCCCGTCCCACACATATGTGCCCATACCCACACATATGTGCCCATACCCACACATATGTGCCCATACCCACACATATGTGCCCATACCCACACATATGTGCCCATACCCACACATATGTGCCCATACCCACACATATGTGCCCATACCCACACATCCCCACGACCACATACCCACATACCTGCATCTGCACGGGAGGCATCGCCTCCCCTCGCCAGTGCGCCCCCAGGCGACAGTACAGCATCACACTCAGGCCCAGCCCGGCCCGTCGCACACACGGACCCCATAGCCGCACACCCCCATAACCACAGGCCCACGTACCCCCATCTGTGCAGGAGCGCTTGCCTGAGTGCGCCAGTGCGCCCCCAGGCGACAGTACAGCACCACACTCAGGCCCGGCCCATCCCACGCCCGCTGCTGCAGCGAGAGCAGTGGCGGGGGCGGCTGCAGGGGCAGCTGGAGGGTGGGCAGGGGAGGCAGAGAGGGGTGGCAGAGGGGGGTGGCAGAGGGGGGTGGCAGAGGGGGGTGGCAGAGAGGGGTGCCAGAGGGGGGTGCCAGAGGGGGGTGCCAGAGGGGGGTGCCAGAGGGGGGTGGCAGAGGGGGGTGGCAGAGGGGGGTGGCAGAGGGGGGTGGCAGAGGGGGTTGGCAGAGGGGGGTGGTAGAGGGGGGTGGTAGAGGGGGGTGGCAGAGGGGCCGGAGAGACGGACGAGAATCCAGTAATAGGAGAAAGGAACCACAGGTTCTGGGAGCACACGGTCACGCTCACAGGGGCTCCACACGGGTAAAGACGGGTAGTTGGAATGGCAGATCACACTGACAACTCAACGTTGTAAGCTCATGCACTTATGACCACCCACCCTACTTCCTTTCCCTACTCAGCCCCCTCTGGCCCCTCTTCCGCCATCCCACACCTACCCTTTCCCTCTCGACACGCATGAGTCCTGACCTGGATATTGACGATTAGCACGGGTGGCAGTCCGTTGCTGCTCTGCGTCGCTGGCTCGCTGCCAGGTGGCGGCACGAGAGCGGCTGGGAGGTCCACATGGGCAGCGATGTGGCGGATCTTCCTGGACGTGTGAAAGACGTCTGCCGCCCACGGCTCATACATGGGGGGTGCAGCAGGGGCGACCTTGGCTCCATCACTGCATGGATAAATGGGGGAACCACCGTTGGAGTTTGGGAAGGGAGGAGAGGGGACGTGTGGAAGACGAATGCTGCCCAGGGCTCGTAGAGAGGGGGTGCGGCAGGGGGGACCTTAGCCCCATCGCTGCATGGATAGACAGGGGGGGTTTGGGGAGGGAGGACGGGGGACGTGTGAAAGACGTCTGGCGCCCAGGGCTCGTAGAGAGGGGGCGCGGCATGGGCAGCCTTGGCCCCGTCACTGCATGCGTGAGGAAAGGAGCACAGTCGGGGGAACACAGCAAAAGCGGTAGCGGGCAGATGTGCAGAGGCAAGGCGAACGGAGTGACGGTTCATGGGAGAGCGGGTGGGTGGACGTGTGAACGTGTGGAAGATTTTGAGGCGCCTCAAAATACACCTCAATGCAAGAGGCAAGGCGAACGGAGTGACGGTTCATGGGAGAGCGGGTGGGTGGACGTGTGAACGTGTGGAAGATTTTGAGGCGCCTCAAAATACACCTCAATGCAAGAGGCAAGGCGAACGGAGTGACGGTTCATGGGAGAGCGGGTGGGTGGACGTGTGAACGTGTGGAAGATTTTGAGGCGCCTCAAAATACACCTCAATGCAAGAGGCAAGGCGAACGGAGTGACGGTTCATGGGAGAGCGGGTGGGTGGACGTGTGAACGTGTGGAAGACGCCTACACGCTCACACTCGTCCTCTCCTCACCTGGCGTAGCTGGGACCTCGCACGAGCAGCAAGGAGGGGTCAGCAGGCGACCAGCAGTTGGTGGCGGCTCGGGCGGAGGGGGAGCAGCGAAACAGCTGCGAGCCCGCCCGCGGCCACATCAGCAACCGCTTCACAGCTGGAGTGGGGGTTGGAGAGGGGGGAAGGGGGAGAGGGGTCGGAGACTTGGAGGGAGGAAAGGGGAGGGTAGAAGGAGTTGAGTCGAGTAGGACGAGCTGAGAGCCTGCCGAGGGCAGCGCTTACATCAGCAAACGGGGAAACCGGGAAACCGGGCAACCAGGCAACCGGGAAACCGGGAAACCGGGAGACCGGGAAACCGGGAAACCGGGAGACCGGGAAACCGGGAAACCGTGAAACCGGGAAACCGGGAAACCGGGCAACCGGGCAACCGGGCAACCGGGAAGCCGGGAAACCGGGAAGCAATAGAGATGGGGTGTCGTGTGCTGGTCTCATCGCTGCAGCTAAATCTCTCAATCTGCGAGCTATCCTTCTCCTGTCCCTCCCGTCCTGTCTTTCTCCTTCCCCGCAGCATGGGTCTGCTCTCAGCATGGCTCTCAGCATGGGCTGAGAGCAGGCTATGGAAAGAGCTTGACTCACACTCGCTGGGGTTTAGAGCAGAGGAGGTGCGGAAGAGGCGAGACAGCAGCGCGCCACCGCTGCCAGACGCACCCGACGTGCGCTCCAGGAGAGACCCTCCACCCCCTGCCCCTGCTGCACTAGGTCGGTCCATGCCCATGCCCATGCCCATGCCCCCACTGCCAGCAGCTGCACCAGCAGCTGCAGGGGCGTCGAGAGGAGGGAGCCTCATGCTGCCACTGGAACGACCGCGGTCCACTGTGGAGGAAGCTTCGGCGTCACTGCCCGCCATGGCTGGTGTGGTGGGGAGTGGGGAGGGGCAGGGGGGAGTATGGACGGGATGGCTTTTGAGTCGACAGAAACTCCTGAGATGTCTTGAGAGTCAGGGGGGAGTGTGGACGAGATAAAGTCCGAGTCGACTCACACCTCATCAAGGAGATGTGGAGAGAGCTTCGGCGTCGGTGCCTGCCATGGCTGGTGTGGTGGGGCGCAGGGAGGGGCGGGGGGGAGCGTGGTGTGGGCGGGATGACTTTTGAGCGACTCAATACTTTTGAGACGAGGGTATTGTGGTGGAAAGTAGTGTGGTGGACGAGGGTAGTGTGGTGGACGAGGGTAGTGTGGTGGACGAGGGTAGTGTGGTGGACGAGGGTAGTGTGGTGGACGAGGGTAGTGTGGTGGACGAGGGTAGTGTGGTGGACGAGGGTAGTGTGGTGGACGAGGGTAGTGTGGTGGACGAGGGTAGTGTGGTGGACGAGGGTAGTGTGGTGGACGAGGGTAGTGTGGTGGACGAGGGTAGTGTGGTGGACGAGGGTAGTGTGGTGGACGAGGGTAGTGTGGTGGACGAGGGTAGTGTGGTGGACGAGGGTAGTGTGGTGGACGAGGGTAGTGTGGTGGACGAGGGTAGTGTGGTGGACGAGGGTAGTGTGGTGGACGAGGGTAGTGTGGTGGACGAGGGTAGTGTGGTGGACGAGGGTAGTGTGGTGGAGGGAGCTTTGGTGTCGGTGACTGCCGCATCAGAGCAACAGCAAGAGCAGAGCAACAGGAAAGGTAACGGAACAGCAGAGCAGCAGAAGAGCGAGACATAGAGAAGCAGGGATGATGACCTTGCAGCAGGGCGGTGAGAGTGCCAGAGTGGGGCTGTAGAGACTTCCATTTCTTCAACGTGCCTGGCCTCCCCCCTCTGCCCTCCCCCCCACTCCTTCCCCCACCACTAGCGCCATAACCACTCATCGGACCACCAGTGACACTGCTACCCGCGAGGGAGGCAGCAGGGGAGGGAGCGGCAGCGTCGGCAGGGGAGGGCGAGATGAGGGAGGAGGAGAGGAGGTGCAGGTTGGAGACGCGCTGCTTGGCGGAGCCAAAGTCGGTGCTGCGCGTGCGGTAGGGCAACGAGCGCGGGGTGGTGGGGCAGGGGAGAGGGGAGTGGGCGGCGGGGGAGGGGAAGGGGAGAGGGGAGTGGGCGGCAGGGGAGGGGCTAGGGAGAGGGGAGTGGGCGGAAAGGGAGGGGCCAGGGAGCGGGGAGTGGGGGACAGGAGGGGGGAGGTCCAGAGGTGCCTGTGGTTCGTGGGAGGGCTGCTGCTGGCAGGATTCGAGCGCTGGAGGGGAGGCTGAAGGTGCTGCTGGTGTTGGTGCTGCTGTTGTTGGTGGTGCTGGTGCTGTTGCTGCTGGTGCTTTTGGTGCCGCTGCTGGTGTTGCTGCTATTACTGCTGCTCCACGGGTGGGCGATGGTGGCGGTTCAAACGGATGTGCGGCAGCAGCTGATTGAGGGGCGTTGGGTGCTGCTGGGGAGTCAGATGGTGGCGTGACATCTGCTGTTGGTGCCAGAGGTGCAGTTGAAAGCTCAAAGGCACTTGATGCAACAGTTGCTGCGTTACCCACAGCCTCACAACCCACCAAATCATCAGTGACATTACTTGTGTCAGTGGAGTTAGCTGAGTCAGTGATATTGGTCGTGTTGGTAGCATTGACCACTGCAGCAGTGCCACGTGGGTCAATATGAGAGGCTGTATCAACAGCACTGGTCATCACAATCGCATTACTAGCAACAGTAGAGGTGTCGGTAGCAGCAACACGGTCAGCAGCACCAGCGGTGCCAGCAGCAGGAATGGTGTCAGAAGCCCTAGGGTCAGCTGTGTTAGTGCTTCTTACTGTGTCACTCTGCCTTGCTGCCACTTGAGCAGAAGCAGCAACAGTAGCAGCAGCAACAGTAGCAGCAGCTGCAGCAGCAACAGTAGCAGCAGCAACAGTAGCAGCAGGTGCAGCAGCAGTGGTCTTTTCAGCAAGCGGGGGAGGAATGGGGAGTTGGGTGGGAGGCTGTGAACGGGAGGGGGTGCGGGGGCGAGTGGGGCTGCGAGGCCGAGAGGGTGTGCGAGGGTTGGGCGAGCGAGGAGGAGGAATGGAACGAGGGGAACGGGCAGGGGGAACGGAGCGAGGAGATGGGGAAAAGGATCGCATGGAGATGCTGCGAGAGAGGGACTCTGGTGGGGACGACAGAGGGGGCAGGGGGGGGGAAGGGGTAGCAAAGACGGGTGGATGGAGCAAAGGAAAATGTGGGGGTAAGGGCACGCATGGGGGAAGGAAAGCAGCACTGCAAGTATGATACCAAAGAGGGTCTTGGGGAGAACAAACGGGCGCGTGAAGCGCGAGAGAGAGCAGGTAAAAGGTGTGAAAGAGGGGTGGAGCAAGTGGGAGAGGGGGCATTGGGGAGAGGGAGCACAGGGGGGAGAGAGCACGGGGGAGAGGAAGCAAACGGGGGAGGGAGCACGGACCCGCCACAGAGAAGAACTCGTCCGGGTCGTTGAAATCATCACCGTTGCTGCTGCCACCATCGCCACACCCATCCCCATCACCATCCCCATCTCGGTCCCTGTCATTGCCAGTACCCGGCACACCAGGTAGGTGCAACGCAGCAGCACGCACTCCCGCTCGACTCCCATCCCTTGCTGCAGCAGCCGCAGCTGCTGCTACTACACCCCCTGCCGCTCCCCCAGAGTGAGCAGCAGGGTGAGCAGCAGAGAGAGGGTCCAAGGCGGCCTGCAGGCAGCTGGCCACCCACTCGTCAACCTCCCTCGCCCGCGCAGGGCTCTTGCGCTCATCGATCTCCCCAGTCCCGCCCATCTCTCTCACCACCACTCCCCCGCGTCCCATAGGCGAGCATGAGCGCGCTCGCCCCAAGCCACTGCCCTCCGTCACGCCACTCACCCCCGCCCCACCCTCTCCTCTCCATTGCCCCCCCTCCGACTCCTTCCCCTGCTCCCTCTCCCGCCGCCTGCTCTCCGCGTCTCCCTCGCCTCCCTCACCTCCTCTCCCGTCCTCCTCCCTCCTCCCCTGTCCTCGCCCCTCCTCTCTGCATCCGCCATCAGCTTCTGCCGCCTCTGCAGTCTCTGCAGCAGCACCACACACCTGCAGCGACACTCGCTCGTCCACGTGTCTCCGATCCTTCCCCTCTGCACACCCTGCCATGTCACCAGGGGGTCTCCGCTGCTCCTCCTGCTGCCGCTGCTGCTGCTGCTGCTGCTGCTGCTGCTGCTCCTGCTGCTGCTGCTGCTGCTCCTGCTGCTGTGCCTGCTGCACCTGATCAGACGAGACAAACGCGGAAGCGACTTCCGTGTGGCCATTCAGGGAATCGACCGTGGGCTTACTCCCATGCTGCTGCTGCTGGTGGGTGTGCTGAATGAGCCGTATCCACGAGCCATTGCTGTTCTCTGACGTCTCCTCCTCACTGCCTCCATCCTCATCGCCTGCTGCTGCTGCTGCTCCTGCTGCTGCAGACGCAGCAACAGCTCCTCCTGTCGCTGCTGCAACGGCTCCCCGCGCTCCATCCAGCTCAACACCTGAACCACCCATGTCGCCAACACCAGTCATGCCGTTCTTGACTCTCCCGACTGCTGCTGTTTCCCCGGCCACTGCTGCTTCCTCTTGTTCCGCGCGACCATCGGAGTGACTGTGGCGCCGGAACGGGGACAGGGAGTGCGAGCGGGAGTGGGTGTGGCTGTGCCTACGATCTGCATTGTGATGCGCATGTCTCTGAGAGTGGTGCTGCGAGGGGTGGTGCTGGCCCTTTTTCCCATCTTTAAACACCATCACCTTCCACGTGAAACACCTCACTCCCATCACCGCCTCAGGACTCCCCATTTCCCCCTCTTCTTCCCCCTCTTCTTCCTCCTCTTCATCCTCTCCATCCCTCGTCGCTTCCGCTCGCCACACTTCCGCTGCCGCCTCTCCACTTCCATCTTCGCCCTCCCGCGCTCGCCTTCTTCCACGCTCTGCGCTCTTGCTGCCCCGCCCTGTGCGGGCATGCCCCGCGCCGACCGCAGGTGGCTTCGCAGGTGTTTTTTCAGGTGTTTCAGCGGACCGTGCTCGCGCGGCTCTACGAGAAGGGCTCGCAGCGTTTTCCGGCGCGAGAGTCGCCGAAAGACCCGGGATGGCCGGCTTCTGCTGCGAGCTTTCGGTCCACGCCCCGTCCGCGTTACAGTGGAAATTCGACTGTTTCCCGCCACTGGCATCTGATGTGGCGGGCATAATAACGGAAGGAAACGTTCGTATAACGACCAGCGTGAAGGTCTCTACGCTGAAAATAACGGTTAGACGTTTGGCAAGATTCGAGCAAAATGCTAACTTGCGATCCGCTCTAGCTGTATAAGGATGACGCGAACAAGCGGAGGAACGTGATAACCGTTACTAATCAAATCAAGCCTAAATTACATTAGTACTCAATCACTCCATCTCGTGATCTTGATACGGACTGCGTTGAAGCTGTACATTGACTAACGAGGTGCATTCTGTTTGCCGATGTTGGCAGCCATTGATCTTGATAGAAAACAGAAACTGGAACCATTTTCTTGGGAGTATGGCAGGTATGTTGCTGGTCTGCTCGAGTCTGTCAGCTGGAGTGGGCGGGAATGCCGACAGCAGGGAAATTCTGTACTCTGTAAACCGTCAAGTTCTGTACATGACGCTTTCCTGTAAATTAAATGCTTCAGATGTGTGGATCTAACCTCCACCAAAATGTTTACATCAGAGAGGTTAAAGTTCAAACAAACTGCCATATGGACAAAAATAGGCCCTTTACGGCAGAGGCTCATTCTCTCCCCCAGCAATTAGGGGAGTCTGGCAATTCAGCAAATAGCCTGAAGTTTCTGCCAACTATGGAACTGAAAGCAAGCCATACAAGTTTATGGAAACAATAGAGTACTACAATAGCGCAGTAGACGCTCACGATGTTCCTTTGCTAAGCTGGGCTGACAGAAAGTACACAAAAGCCTTCACCACAGCCTCCCCTACCTCCCCCCTCATGCCTCCATTCCCGTCCGAGCATGAGTAATGTGGATCAGTTAACGAGCATGTGGTCCTGTACTGAGGTGCAGTGACTTGCCACGTGTCAAAGAATGACAAACCCATGTGGCGAGCCAGGGGCTGGGCAATCCCATTGCCATATGCCAGCATGGCATTGGTTCGTCTAATCCATTTACGATTTGCCACCCAAAATGAAGGCAGGCCAAAGAAAACAGCAGGCTTTTTTGGTCGAAGGAGGTGGAGCGAGGAGAGGAAATGAGGGAGGTAGTGAGGATAGGCCACAGCGCCATCGGAGCAGAACTCGAAGGTCCAGTGCCCTGTGCCTACGACTGTGACATCTGCAGTTGGTGATGGTGCAGGATAGCTACTTGTATGGTTGGAATATTTTCCCCTGCGACTGCGGTTATGTAGGGAGAGAGCAAGAAAGAAGGATGAGTTGACAAGGAGCTCAAAATCCTCTGAAATGTGCGAACCAGAAGAAATCATCGCTTTTTATTGGCTCACTTACGAGCATCCTGCCACATTGTTGTCATATATGCCATCCAGCCAGTTGTAATTCACACGAATAATGCCTTGCTTCACCAATTCTCCACCAGCTGGAACACCCCCTGCTGGTGCTGGTGCAGTGACGTTGAGGGTGTAAGAGATGTCACCATGCTTCACCAGGGTCATATTATGCGCTGTGCCAGTGTGCATGAACCAGAGGTGCATGATCAACCCTCTCATGTGTGAATCTCCAATCACATTCACCTCCCGTACTCCTGCCTTCCACAATCCCCAAAGCATGTCATTCAACGAAGAAGCACGAGCGCAGCTGAAGAATGCCCACCTGAATCCAAGCAAGATCGTTCAGGCTAAGACGTTGCCCCAAAGGGTTGACCTTGTAATGAAGTATACGAGGCTTTGTAGATCCGTGTTTTCACTGACCTGTATTTTTCTGTGGTAGCAATTGCTGTGTTTAGATCGGTCAAGCCATTTTGACTCGTGGCGTCACTGCCTGCAAGCCACCGACCAGCAATCCCATGTGCACATGGACTCTTGACCGCTGAGAGATCCATGTTGGCTCCATCCAGTTGGGGTTGCTCGAGCCAATCACGTGGCTGGCTTCCCTGAAGCACCGAAACAGGTATCTGTGCAAAAACGTGCTGTCCTAAACGGTTCCAGTCTTTGGTGTAGTTCAAATTGGAACCATCAACACGGAATTCCATGCTGCATGCATCGAAACAAAACACCAAGTCAGAATGGCATGTGCGAAGCCTGCAGACAATGGTCCCCCTAGAGACACAGTGGAGACATGGGAAGGGAACACTTTGGCATACCTGTAATCACCAGCGTCCCATGGTGTATAAGAGGCCAGAATCACTGACTGTCCTGGAGAACCAGCCTTCAGTGTTGTCAGACGCACATGAATCAGGGAAGGCCCTCTAAGCGTGACCATCATGTCCCATTGAAGGGAGGCAGATGCAGAAGCAGGGATCCAGTGTGCTGGTGATTGCACTGCGATGTAGAGAGAGCAAGCTTGGCCAACGTGGCATTGTTTGCAGCCATCTCCGTAGACCATCACGCCACCAGGACGAAAGGCAACCTTTCCACGAGATTCTAAAGTTTCTTGATCGGAGTTTCTAGTTTCGTTCAATGAGATCCTCGAGCCGCCATGGATGGAAGAGCTCCAACACAATTCCGCAGGCAAGTCCTCAGTGAATTCAGGGTTGCTTGATTCTGTTGATACAATTGATAAATACCTGAGAGTATGAAGGTTAAAGCCCGAGTCTAGAATGGTAAGGCTTCAAGAATACTGAACTTGAAAGGTGTTGGGAAAGCGACAGAATGGGCAAGCGATGGTCATGTGAAGGCCAGCGACATGATGGGAGAGCGTGGGAGACACTCAGAGTAAGCGTGGGCGACGGGCGCGGGAAGGGAGAGCCACCTAAAAGGCGACGGGAGGGGAGGCGAATTCAAGTTCAAGAATCTTGAACTTGAAAAGTTGCCATTCTAGACTCGGGCTTTAAGGATTTGATAAACATGAAGCTAAGGCGTAACAAATTACAAAATTACCTGCTGTCTGTCTGATTGAGAACTGATATGTTCGCTAGGTTCAGTGACGCAGCCTTCCTCAACTCTTGGTTACTTTCTCTTGCAGAAGTGCTCCTGGACAGAAGATATCCCGACAGTGCGAGGAGTATAAACGAGACTGCGCAAAGGCTTCGCCGAACTACGGATGTCCAATGGCATTTTGTAACGGATGGATTATCTAGATCGAACCCTTGACTTGGCTTCTTCCTCGCCGGGCTGGAACCTATCTCATGCTCGTCGTCCGAGTCAACGACATGCGAGTAATTGGCAGCGGACGGAAGTGCCATTGAATCGAATTCACTCACGCTAAGATGCTGCAGCCGAAAAACCAAATAGCAGTAACAAGCTACGCTGCAGCTGTGGGGTCAGACAAGCACAAAGTCGATCGGAAAAATCATCGCGTCTAGCCAGCAGCGAGCAGAACACGCCATTCCCAAGACCAGAGAAACCAGCCGGGGTTTTCCTGGCAGGTCGTGACTCCATGGTTTTCGCTGTGAGCGGTTGCGACGAATCCACCACCTCAGCAGCATACGTTTCCTAAATCGGCGTTAGATGAGAACTGAATTGGTCACCTCACGACAGTCCCAGCCGAAACCTTGGATTTGACGGAAGCGCTATAGAGCACCACAATACCGACATTAAAGAAACGAAAAACCTTCATAACAAAAAACAAAATGAAAACCCCTTCTCATATTCAAGGCAAAAGACTGGAAAGAAACACCCATAATATATCTGTTGAGTTGATAGAAGACACCTCTATAGGTATTCCATTGCACTAAGCAATTCCCCGTGCTCTTCAAAGTACGTAACCATCCTTTGTAGAAACGGCACGACAGTCCCCAATCTCAGTGCTCAATTCAGCCGAAACCTTGGATTTGACGGAAGCGCTATAGAGCACCACAATACCGACATTAAAGAAACGAAAAACCTTCATAACAAAAAACAAAATGAAAACCCCTTCTCATATTCAAGGCAAAAGACTGGAAAGAAACACCCATAATATATCTGTTGAGTTGATAGAAGACACCTCTATAGGTATTCCATTGCACTAAGCAATTCCCCGTGCTCTTCAAAGTACGTAACCATCCTTTGTAGAAACGGGTTATTGTTCACCGTGTCACAGTTACACACAATGCAGCACTGTCGACGGGCTCTTGTGACAGCGACATTCATTCGCCGTTCATCCGCCAAGAAGCCAACCTACTCACACGGAAGCAAGGGTAGTAAGGGGCAAAGGTAGCAGGGATTGATTCCAAGAGGTATGCTCACTTGCATAAGCTAGTGCAAAGGAAGGAGTGGTGTATAGAAGGATACACTGTACTACCGAAACATGAATCGACCAACTGCGTACCTCGCCGGTGTCATTGGAGCGGACCATGGAGATGATAATGGCCTCCTTCTCCCTCCCCTGAAACCCATCAACCGTGCTGATCTCCACGCGAGCCAGCTGCCGAGAGTCCTCTCTGAATGACTTGAGTAAGCCCACCTGGGATGGTCAGAGCAGGGGAGAGTGATGCGGAGGGCCGCATCGACAATGGCATTTGTAACTGTTGCATGGAAAACAATTTGCACTGCAATTGTGAGACACCCATGTAGTGGAACTTACTCAGACAGCAAGCAACTGTTAAACATTGTGTGAGATAGGATCGTATCTACCATAACCCACCTGTGCACTGTACGGTGTGACAATCCCTATGTCCCCCGCATCCACCCCGGCCTCCAGCAACCTCCTCACATGCGCCACCACCACTCTCGCCTCCCCCTCATTCCGCAAACTCTCCCCCTCCTCCTCCCTTTGCTCCTCCACATCATCACACCCCGTCGTATCCACAAGCACCAGCCGAGCCTCCGTGACAGGCCCGGAAACCACCCCTGGCAGGTCCGGAAGCCCGTGCCTGGCCACCGAGGCATGCGCTGACAGCAGCGACTGGTACAACTCGTCAGACGCCCAGCACATGATGTCCTGGTGCATGCGGTACTGAACGGTGAGCATGGATGTGATGCGGTCCCCGTACAGGCGGTGCAGGCGCTCGAAGAGGGTGACCCCGAGACCGCGTTTCTGAGCCTCGTCGCACTGCACGGTGGGCGGCAGCTGCAGGTGGTCTCCTGACAGGATGCAGCGCGGGGCTTTAAGCACTGCTGCCCAGCACGACACCTCCAGGGCCTGTGCTGCCTCGTCTATCACCACCAGGTCGAATGTCAGGGGCTGGAGGGATGTTGGGTTGGCAAGGGGGAGGGAGGGGAAAGTTTGCAACGAGAAAAGAGAAGGAGATAGAGCGTTAGTTGCAGCATGACACCTCCAGGGCCTGTGCTGCCTCGTCTATCACCACCAGGTCGAACGTCAGTGGCTGGAGGGATGGGGGAACGGCAGCGGAAAGGGGGGGAAGAGATGGCAAGAAGAGGAGATAGAGTGTCAGTTGCAGCAGGAAAGGTATGTGTAGCCTCGTCTATCACCGTGAGGTTTCTGAGCCTCGCCGCATTGCGTGTAATGTGAAGTCCTCTACATTGTAGAGAATGTAGACATGGAGGGAGATGTGAGAGAACAAGTGCAGGCGGCACACGAAGAGGTCACGGCGATGTTGGGACACGGTGGGCGGTAGCTGCAGGTGGTCGCCTGACAGGATGCAGCGCAGGGCTTTAAGCACGGCTGCCCAGCATGAAAACGACAGGGCTTGTGCTGCCTCGTCTATCACCACCAGGTCGAATGTCAGAGGCTGGGGGGATGGGGATTTCAGAGGGAGGGAAGAGGAATGGGAGGGGAAGGGAGGGCAGGGGAGGGGAGGGGAGGGGAGGGGAGGGGAGGGGAGGGGAGGGGAGGGGAGGGGAGGGGAGTGCAAGGATGACAAGGAGAAAACAGCTGATGGAGATGCAGGGTGAGTTAATTACGAGACCTCCACGGTTTGTGCTGCTTCATTTCCACTGGTCCAGATAATAAGAGGCAAACTTCAGGTGGGTTTTTCACTGCCCTGTGCTGCCACTGCCTCCCCTCTGTTCCCATGCGCAGCAGTAACTCAGCTTGAGGTGCATGGTGTGCCTGTGACAAGCAGCCTATGAGAGTGGTGAGCACAACGTTCAAGTCCTTGGGGCACATACTCCACTGCCCGCTGACACCACAGAAACTCACCTCCAGGTGTCGGGACAAGCTGCCTGTGAGAGTAGTGAGCACAACGTTGGAGTCCTTGAGCACATCCTGCACGGCCCGCTGCTGCCGCTGCCTCTCCTCCTTACCCAGGCGCCGCAGGTCCCTCTGAATCTCGCCCCTCTCCCGCCTTATCCTCGTTTTAAGCAGCTTCCCTGACAGCTGCTGCATCTCCTTGCGCACGTCCTTGGCTAGGGCGCTGTTGTCCGACTGCTGGACCTGGTGGGGGGGGGAAGCAGAGCGGGCGGGAGGTGGGGCAGAAAGAGGGAGCAGGGAGAAAGATATAGCGAGAGCAACGGGGGGGTAAAGGAAAGAGAGGGCAGCTGCATCTCCTTGCGCACGTCCTTGGCTAGGGCGCTGTTGTCCGACTGCTGCACCTGGTGGGGGGGGAAGACAGGAAGAAGGGGTATGGGACAAAAGAGCGAAGGGAGAAAGTGAGAGAGCAAAGGGAGGGGAAACGAAGGGGAGAGAGGGAAGGGAGAGTGAAAGACGGAACAGAGGGAGAGGAGAAGGGAAGAACGAAGAGAGGGATTGCAAGAGAAGTCAGGGGAGGGAAGGGAACGGAACATAAGAGTCAGGAGAGTGAGAAGATGGCACATACACATATCAGGATGTATGCATGCATGTGGTGGAGTACATGTGTCATGGTGTGTGCTTGTGTTGCCATGCATGTGACATGCATGCATGTGGTGGCATACCAAGGCATCGAGGGAGGAGTTGAGGATGGATGGCAGCAGTCGTGCGGGATGCCCCACTCTCACTGCCCGTACCTGCACGAGCGGCAGTAGAGAGGTGGGGGGTTGGAGGGCAGGGCAGGGGGGACAGGACGAGGGGGACAGGGCGAGGGGTAAAGCACGAGGGGGACAGGGAAAGTACAGAAACAATATGTCTTGATGAGCGCTTGGGAGTTTGGCGAGAGCAGGCCAGTGGACTTGTGAATCGGTACAGTGTGAAATTAAAGGGATCTTCCCAGTAGGAAAGGAATACCATGCAGTTCTAGCTGTGATTGAATAGAAAATCTCATGTAGGCGGCACCTGCTTGTGCGGCACGAGTCGCTCGACGAGGTTGTCCACAGCGATGTTGGATGCCGCACACACCAGCACCTTGCTGCCGCGCTTCACCTCCTGCACCACCACCTGCAGGGCGGAGGGGGCGTGGAAGGGTGATGCGGAGGATGGACGAGGAGATGGGGGGAGGGACCAGGACGGGCAAGACGCACACACCAGCACCTTGCTACCTCGCTTCACCTCCTGCACCACCACCTGCAGGGCGGAGGGGGCGTGGAAGGGTGATGGGGAGGATGGACGAGGAGATGGGGGGAGGGACCAGGACGGGCAAGACGCACACACCAGCACCTTGCTACCTCGCTTCACCTCCTGCACCACCACCTGCAGGGCGGAGGGGGCGTGGAAGGGTGATGGGGAGGATGGACGAGGAGATGGGGGGAGGGACCAGGACGGGCAAGACGCACACACCAGCACCTTGCTGCCTCGCTTCAGCTCCTGCACCACCACCTGCAGGGCGGAGGGGGCGTGGAAGGGTGATGGGGAGGATGGACGAGGAGATGGGGGGAGGGACCAGGACGGGCAAGACGCACACACCAGCACCTTGTTGCCTCGCTTCACCTCCTGCACCACCACCTGCAGGGCGGAGGAGGGGGGGGAGAGAGGGGAAGAATTATCACGATTCAATGATGGTGATGGCCACAGCGATGGAGGGACAAAAACGGAACAGATTCACTCACCAGCACCCTTTGCGCTCTTCACACCCTGCACCACCACAACCCTTTCTCTCGTCTCAGAACCCTCACCTCCACCTCGCCTTGCCCCTGCCTGGCAGGCCAAACAGGCTTTTGGACAGGGGTGCACGCGAGGGGTGCACGCGAGGGGTGTATGCGAGGTTTGCATGTGGTGGCCTGTGCCACATGGTGGCCTGTGCCACATGGTGGCCGGACAGGTTCTTGGCCTCAGCGGCCTTCTGTGACTCATGTTGTAAGGAGTCACACCCGCCCCACACACTCATATCCACCACCAGAGCCCTCACCTCCACCACAGTGGTCGTTTTGCTAGTGCCTGGCGGCCCGTGGGTGGATGAGTGCCACGTGGTGGGCAGAGAGGCTCTTGGCCTCAGCGGCCTTCTGTGATTCATGTTGTAAGGAATCACACCCGCCCCACACTCAATATCCACCACCAGAGCCTCACCTCCACTACGGTGGTTGTCTTGCCCGTGCCTGGTGGGCCATGGATGAGTGCCACGTGGTGGGAGGACAGGCTCTTGGCGACGGCAGCCTTCTGTGACTCGTCCAGAGCGCGGTTAAAAGGCGTGAAGGGCGGAGGGGCCTTTGCCAGGCGCGGCTCAGACTGACCAAAAAGAACCTGATGGGGGCAGGGAAAAGGGGGCGGGGGGGAGGGGAGACGGAGGACGAGAGCGGGACGACGGAAGAGAGGAAGAGAGGGAAATGAGGGTGGAGAGGAAGGAGAGGGAGAAGGATGAGGAGGAGAGAGTGGAGGAGAAGATGCGAGGAAGGAAGGACCCCACACAATTATTTACCCTCTCCACCCTCAATCAAGCCAAAAAGATCTCCCTTCCTCTGCGTATTTTCCTCCAAACTAACCGGGATAAGTGCTGTCCCTGGCCTGCCCACTGTGCCCACATCCCCCGCCCTGCTCAGCGCCCGCAACATGTCATGCGTCACATCATGCGCACGTGCTTACTGGGATAAGTGCCGCCCCGGGCCTGCCAACCGTGCTCACGCCCACATCCCCCGTCCTGCTGAGCGCCCCCAGGGTATCCCGCATGCGCTTGAACGTGACATCGTTGGCCAGCTTCTCTATTCTCACAGGAGCGTCCAGTCCCTCCCCATCGGGCACCTCATCCACGGCCACCACCACCGCATCCTCCCTCACTCGGTACACCACCCCCTGCGCTATCGCCGCCTGTGCCCCCTCCGCCTTGTTCGCCCGGATCGCCACCACGTCGTGCGGAGTGAACTTGTGCGGCGGCAGCACTGGACCAGACGCTCGCGAACCCGAACCTGCTCCCGAACCTGCAGGTCCGGCGTCTGCTGTGGTGCCTTTGCTGGAGGCTTTTCCAGTCTTGTTGGAGACGAGGGTGAGGAGGGTCTTGCCCATGAGGCCTGATGTGGCCTCCGTGCACCGCAGGTGGCACAGCACTCGCCCCTTGGCCTGCGCTGATGCCAGAGAGCGCGTGGACGCTGCTTCTTCTGCTAATGCCACCTCTGCATCCTGTGGGAGTGAAAGGTATAGGGGAAAGAGAAGGGGTGAAATGGGGAGGAAAGGGTGTGAAACGCGGGAAAGGGAGGGAAGGTAGAGACGCGAGGACACAGAGCAGCAGGCGGCTGAACACCCAACACCATAGCAGCCGCCACGCGGCCCAGCATGTCCGACCTCCAGGTCCAACCCTGGGTGTGGCTCACCCTTCCGAGGTCCAGCAGTGGTCTCTCATCCATCCTCTTCACCAACTCGTGCACATTGCTGCAATAACTTTTGAGGCGCCTCAGAAGCCGGGTGTAGCGTGTGGGGGGAAAGGCGCGTCTCACCTTCTCCAGGTCCAGCAGGGGGCGCATCCTCTTGACAAACTCGTACACGTCGCTGCAGTCACTCACGTCTGCCGCCACGCCACGCGCCCTTCCCATCCCCGCCGCCCCATACCCCATGCCTGCTCCTCCCTTCCCACCTCCTGCTCCTGCTCCCCCTTTTCCCGCTCCTCGTCCCCCCGTCCCCATGCCCTCAGTGCCGCTTCCGCCCCTGTCGTTCCCCCCAAGCGCGTCAGCAGGCACATCCCATCCCAAGTGCTGCTTCAGAGCGTCTCCCAGCTGGTGCGCTCCTATTGGCTGCTGCTGCTGCTGCTCCTGTTGCCGCCCATCATCCGCTCCTACATGCAGCGTCCTGCCTTCCCCTTCAGACGCCTCACCCTCCCACCACAGCACCAGCTGCCGATGCGAGCCGCCCGGCATGTCCCGGCTCTCGTGTTGCCACCCATGCGTGTCCGCAAGATCTGATTGGATGGGAACGGATGTGAGGGAGTGAGTCGGTAGCATCTGAGAGAATGAGTCAGCAAAAACTCAACATCTTAAGTGATAATGAGAGAAGTAAGGCGAGCAAGCAAGAAGGTGAGTAGAGCGATCTTGCATGCAGCGCCATGGATCCATCATCCATCACATTGCCACCACCACCCCTCCCAGCACCACCCCTCCCAGCACCACCCCTCCCAGAAGCACCCCTCCCAGCAGCACCCCTCCCAGCACCACCCCTCCCAGAAGAACCATCCCTCCCACCCAGCAGCACCCCACCAAGCAGCACCCCACCCAGCAGCACCCCACCCAACAGCACCCCACCCAGCAGCACCCCTCCCAGCAGCACCCCTCCCAGCAGCACCCCTCCCAGCAGCACCCCTCCCAGCAGCACCCTCACTGGTTATCAACCTCTCTCACCGTGCATTTCTCACCATGCAATGCGGCGCGTTGCTTGGGAGTGAGGGAGGGCGGAAAGACCACGCGTGTCACTGGCAGCTGGGGACACGTGGCAACAGGGGAACGGAGGATAAGGGGAGGAAATGCAGGGGGGATTTGAAGGCCAGAGAGGCAGGAAACCAATGCTTCAAGGAAGGAAGAAAAGCACGGAGATGAAGGGAAGGAGAGGCGACATGTCCTGAACCCTATCCTTAACATACATGTCTATGATCCATGCATCTATCCTTAGCCATCACTCCACTGTCACGGTTCTGTCGGAAGTCCTGAACCCTCAAATCACAGTTATAATAAGAACCCGCCGGTCAAATTCCTCTGTAGTAACTATACAGCTGCCTTGTTATAGTAAGCACTAGGACGTGCTTACTCCAGCCGTCGATCCTGCTTCGACTGATGCCGCAGTGCCATTTTCCCCACGACCTGCGCTTTCCACGCCACCCGCGGCAGCTGCTACCTCCGCGAGTGCACTGGCGGAAGCGGGAGGTTCTGCGGGTTTGGCGGAAGTGTCCGCGGAAGGCGCGGACACCTTCTGCGCGCTGCGGTTGAGCTGCGCGGCTTTTTTGGCCGCCGCCTTGCGCTTAGCCGCATCCGACACCATTCCGGGGAAAAGAAGGCGGAAGGAAAGCGGAACAAAGGCGGAAGGAAAACAGAAGAATGGGAGACGTGGAGGATTTACACGTTGCTGCGCCGAGACACCTCCTTCGCTACGGCTTGCTATCCGTCCACGGAAACTTGCGTCCGTTGCCTGACGCTGGCAAACTGAGGCCTCGCTATCGGTTAATACTGATTAATGACATGCGGCATATTGGCAATTCCGTAAGGAATCTAACGCTGGTGCTGACAGGACAAACTCGGAAATTAAGGGAGTGAATAAGAGCTATCGCAGTTGACCAGAACTGACTCATGGCACAATGATATGGCATGGCAGCTGCTCCTATCAGCTCCAAGTCCTTCAGTTCCGCTCCTGTCAGCTAAAAGCGCCTCAGCTGCTTCAGGCGCGTACGATTTATGGGGGTTCGTTGTTCACGTACAAGTTTCAGTGTGTGTTACGGGTGCAATGAATCGAGGTAGCGAGGATTGCACTAGAGTGTTCAACAAGTACAAAGTATGAGCGAAGGCATGAGCGAATACTTATACGCGAAAATGTGCAAACGGTAACGCGGTGTGTGCGAGCTAGCTAGTGCTACGCTGGCGCGAGGTTCGGGCTAGTCCCGAAGCGTAGGCCGATTCGGCTGCTCCAGCAGCGAGGTTTGGTGAAACAGTGCGTGTGAAGTTGGCGAGAGTAACGGGCGAACAATGGCAAATACGGTACTAAACGCGATGTCGGTCGCGGTAAGGAATAGCGAGAAAATTCCTGAGTTCCACACGTTGTCATATGTCACACATCTCTCAAGCAGTTGTTCTTCTTCCTGCAAGTTCCTCTGCTCGCTGCAAGCAGTCCTTCAGCCCGACAACAAATTTGCTTAGTTCTACTCGCGCGTGACAACGATACTCGACGCTTCTCGATACAGTTCTCGCTGGGCGAACTATTTTAACGACGGCTACGTTTAGTCATCCGTGCGGCGTTTACATTCCGGCTGATAGAGCATCTTGCGAGCGACGACATTTTCCGCTGGTCAAAGTTCTTCTCGCTGGCGATGTTGGGCGACGATTCCTCAATTTCCGTCATTATGCTCACCAACGACGTTAGTCGACGCTCGCAACCATCCTTCTTGCTGGCGATGGTTCGTCTCTCGTGCGACGTTTCCTTTCCGAATATCTAGCTTCTCGTCGGCGACGATGTTCAACGCTGGTCACAATTTTTCTCGCGGACCGCGATGTTCATCGCTGGCGACGGTTCGTCCGTCTCGCGACGAGTCGTTTCGTCACAGACGGCTCTTGTCGCTGGCGATTAGCTCTCGACAGGCAGCGATTCCAATCGGCGACGCGCAGTGATGCCAACGCGGCGAAGCCGACCAGGTTAGTCCGCGCAGTTCCCTTCAGTCCACCTCTCGCTCATCGTTTCGCGCAGATAAGCGTATTATTAGTTGCTGTCGCGTATTTCCGCCTACTCACCTTCCGAACTGGTCGCGTGTTCTCCGTGGCATGGCAGGCGCGTTCGGCGATGCGCGTTCGTCGCGAGCGGGCGTGCAGTGCAGCTCGCTCGCTCGCTCCGCAAGCCGCGCGCGCTGCTGCGGGAGCTGCGCGACGGCGTGAGTGCATGCGCGCAACGAATGGTGCGTCGCGCTCGCCTCTGGCGGACATGGATTCACCGCGTAGCGCTGTGCTGCATGCCCCACCTCGCACCCTCGCTCACGTCACCGCGTGCTCGTCAGGTAAGCATTCCACCTCTCCGCTGATTGATCTGATTGGCTTTCGCCGTCCCTATTGCAACCCATTGCCTGATGCCGATTCTTGAGTTCACCCACCTCTCTGATGCCTCTTTGAACGCCGTTTGGTGGCATAAGTGTGACCTTGCTCTCTCTTACCTCACCTGCTGCCTTTCCCTCACGCTTCTCGCTTCCACTCTCACCATTCCCTTTCCTTGCCCATTCTCACTTACCTACCCCCCCCTCTCCCTGCCTCACCGCCTCCCGCCCTCGCCCCTTATTGTTCCCCTTCTCCACCCCCCCGCCTCCTATCCCTCCCTGGCAGGTCACTGGCGCAGCTGCACGCAACAGGCAGCAGGGAGCAGGGAGCAGGCAGCACGCAGCAGGCAGCAGGCAGCGGGCAGCAGTGAAGCGTTGACTGTCTTCGCCTTCAAGCTAAGTGCCTTGTACTCGCTGTTCAGGGTTTGCACTGTTGCACTGTTTGCGTGTCGCATGTCCATCCAAATCGGGCCATTCGTGAGGGCACAACTCGCGAGTCACAGACAATTTCTTCCTCAGGTTCAAGTTCAGGTTCAGGTTCAGGTTCAGGTTCAGGTTCAGGTTCAGGTTCAGGTTCAGGTTCAGGTTCAGCCCCCCTAAGGTCATACAGCCCGTCAGGTTCCCTTGGGGTCTGTGGCTTGTGGTTTCGCCTCCACCAATGGCCCCTCCTTCCCGTCCCTTGTTGTTATTTGTGTTCTGCTGTTACATCCACCTTTTTAGTGGCCTGTTGGCATCGCACTCGACGCACTCCCTTCCCCCATCATCCCACATGAGCGAATCTCGTTCCCACTCCTTCTCATCTCATCCTGCCCTGCCCTGCCCGCCCTGCCGTCCCTGCCCTGCCAGGTCTGCACAAGCCAAGGGGAGAGCAGCGGGCGAGCAGCAAGCAACGGGGAGGGCCAAGGTGGGCAGCTGGAGGGTGAGCAGGGCAGCAGCGCCGGCCTCATCAACGGTCGAGGTTACAGTATCGCCCCGCCACCACACTCCACATGAGCCCGCTCCCCCTCAGGTTCAGGTGCAGGTGCAGGTGCACGTGCAGGTTGGTAGTGGCTCTTGTGGGGTTGTGGTTGGCATCACAGGCACCGTCGTTTCTGCTGTTGCACTTGTACACTTCTCTCCATTGCAACCCCTCTTACCTTCGTCTGCCTTTCCTCTCATTCCTTTCCCCCCTGCCCTCCCTTCCCTGTCAGGCCTGCACAAGCCAAAGGGAGGGCAGCAGGCGAGCAGCAATCGAGGGGGGGGCCAAGGCGGGCAGCAGGAGTGCGGGCAGCTGGGCAGCAGCGCCGGCCTCATCAACGGTTGAGGTTGCAGTATCGCCCCTGCCACCACACTCCACTCGAGCCCACTCCCCCTCAGGTGCAGGTTCAGGTTGGTAGCGGCTCTTGTGGGGTTGTGGTTGGCGTCACATGCACTGTCGTTTCTGCTGTTGCACGTGTGTTTGACACTTTTCTCCATTGCAACCCCTCTTACTTTCGACCGCCTTTCCTTTCCGCCCTGCCCTCCATCCCCTCCCTTCCCTGCCAGGCCTTCACAAGCCAGGGGGAGGGCAGCAGGCGAGCAGCAGGCAAGGGGAGCACCAGGGCGGGCAGCAGGAGCGCGGGCAGCGGGGCAGCAGCGCCGGCCTCATCAACGGTTGAGGTTGCAGTATCGCCCCTGCCACCACATTCCACTCGAGCCCACTCCCCCTCAGGTTCAGGCTCAGGTGCAGGTTCAGGTTGGTAGCGGCTCTTGTGGGGTTGTGGTTGGCGTCACATGCACCGTCATTTTGCACTCACACTGCTGTCTGTCTTCTCGTTTGGGAGGGAGGCAGCAGTGCAGCATGGCAATCCCACTGCAGCAAGGGAGAGTATCGGGATGGGCTTGGCCTCTCAAGGTAAGCCTCGTACCTCTTTTTGCCGCTGCACTGCTTTTCTGCTAACTTGCCCACGCGCTCGTCCCTTTGATTCGCCCTTGCCTGTTTCAATGCCTGCACTCACTCCCCTCCTGGCCTTCCCTTCCGTTCTGCCCCCCTCCATGTCATCTCGCAATGCAGCAGAGACAGCTGACGGGACCAGTTGTAGCAGCATCAGCAGTGGGGAGCACTGATGCAGCAGGGGAGGGGAGAGGAGGGAGGGGGACACAAGGCGGCATCTCTCGGCGCTTCTTCAGCTGCCAGCTAAGTGCTTTCGCCTCCCTGGACTCACTCTTGCCTGCTGCTCACTGCTCATGCTGAATTACTCTTGTCGTTTTCGCATGCGCTTCTGTGTTGTATCCCTGAAATCTTGCCGCTGGTTGGGGGCCCGGTTCAAAAGCCACAGACCTTCCCTTATTCTTGGTAAACCCCTCAGGTTAAGCCCTCCCTAGACTTTTACAGCCCAATCAGGTACAACCCCTACAGCAGGTTAATCCCCCCAGGTTCCCTCAAAGGTCTGTGGCTTGTGCTCTCGCCTTCACCAGTGGCCCCTCCCCTCGCATGTGCTGCTTTCAAACTCACAGCTGCCAAAACAGAATCATTCCGTGATTGCAATACTCACAGGCTCTGTGCGTGCTCGTTGCAGGTGGAGGGGAGGGGCGCTGGGGTCAACACCGACACTTCCCCACGCCTCTCCCCGGTGGACATGCAGGAGGGAGGGAGGGAGGCAGCGCTGGGAGGGGATGGGAGGGAGGCAGCACTGCAGCATGGCAACCCCACTGCTTAAAGGGAGAGTATGGGCTTGGGTCTTCCAAGGTAAGCCTCTCTCCAGCTCTTTTCTGCCACACTCACTTGTTGCTGTGGGTCTTTGGCGCTGCCTGCTGCTTATCCTTCTGCTTCGCCCTTGCTTACCCCACGACCTTCACTCACTCGCCTCCTGTCCTTCCTTCCGTCTGCCCCCTTCCAATTCCCTCTCAATGCATCAGAGGCAGCACAGTGGCAGCAGCAGCAGCAGCAGCAGCAGCAGCAGCAGCAGGAGGGGAGGGGAGGGAAGGAGTCAATATCTTCAGCTGCCAGTTAAGTGCCTTCTCTTCCCTGGTATCACCCTTGCTTGCTGCTCTTTCCTCTCACTGCCTGAATCATTTTCGCATGTGCCTCCGCGCTTTCTCCCTAAACAACTCGCCACTGGTTGGGGCCTGGTTTGCAAGCCACAGACCCTCCCCCTTAGCTCCTAAGCCCCTCAGGTCAAGCCCTCCCTAGGCCTTACACCCCCCTCAGGTTACCCCCTACTTCCAGGTCATTTTTCAGGTTCAGATTTTCAGGTTCCCTTGATGGTCTGTGGCTTGTGATTCTTCCCTC